TACCGGTGGGCGCTTGGTGTGTATACCGCCTGAGGTCAATATCTCCTGTCGATAGAGAGAGGACCGTGTGTCGTATTGTACGTACTGCAAAGCGACTCGCATTTATACGAGTATAAAGGAAGATCCTGCCAAAGGTCCAGCATTCTCCAAGGTATTATTAAATCTTCAGAGCGCGTTATAAATACAAATTTCCTCATCGTTTTGATCGAGATTAATGCACTTGAGCTTGAGCGATCTATAATCAGAATTTAATCAGAGCTAACAAACCAAAATCTACATTCTACATTTTAATTTCTTTTTATTTAGGATTTTTTAATTATAATTTTTTTTTCGCTGCACGGAAAGAACAATTTTATTAGAGTATTTTATTGGAGTATTTATTAAAACAACCATGTAGGATTCTTAAATGTAATGATTCTTAAATATAATACTGTAAACAGTTTTAACATTCTAGCAATCAGTTTGAGATTATCTACATAATTATTTTGATAGCCCAACAAATTTATTTTCAGATCGGTGATTAGCTAAATTTTGAAAAACTTGAGCAAAATCTCATCCTTACCAGAAATAAAAAGAAATGAATATTTAGAAATTTTCAATAAAAGCAAATTAAATATTTTGTGCTTTGTGTTGCTTCGATCATTTAAATTATAATTATACCGCTGAAGCTCAAATGTGACAACCCTAGTTGAAATGACAAGGAATTCGTATTTATAGTCAACTCGCGCTCGCCGTTCTAGCGCGAATGACTAGAAAGCTCGTGTCTTAACGTTACCGCTTGTCAATCGTATATAAAGTAACTCGTGAATCAATAATGACAGCTCTACTTCACACGCGCGCGTGCACACCGATATGATAGAATGTAGAAATGCGCGAGCGAGGAAGTGTACGTTTTTCCTGGCGGCGTGGGTGGGGAAGTAGAACGGTTTCTTCTCGGAAGAAGGAGACTCGCCTCTGCCTCCGTCGTAAATCTGTCTTTCGGGCGACGACGGGCGCCCGCGCGAATTTATGCCCCGTCGCGGAAACTGGGCCACCGCACCGCTGCGTGCCGCTGAAGCTGCGTACGGCGGCGGATAAAAGTCCGCCACTTGTTGCTGCTTTAGCGACGCGACGCGATATTCCTATAACGCGAAACGGAGCGATTCAAGTGAACCAGTGACTTGCGAGGAGATTCCGCGAATGCGCGCGCTCTCGTCGGTCGCGGGAGGAAAGCAAAGGGGTGACCCAATGGAAAAGAACGCGGCAGAATTTTCTCGAGCTATCACCTTCAAGTTCCTTCTCCGAGCAATCTCGCTTCCTTTCTATATATGATGACATATCAGACATTTTGTTCGTAACTCCACATACCCGTTGTCTACTCTCTAAATCTGAATCAGTAAATAATTATTGACATTAGTTCCAATTATGTCACTGGTAATCAGTGAAATTTAACTCTAACTAAAAAATCAATTAAACGTGGAATCGAACTTAGCTAACCTTTTTTTCAATTGAATTCACCGATTCAGATTTAGAAAGAAATTAAAACATCGTAAAGCCTATGAATCGCTCTATAAAGTTTAGATCATGATGATGGAGATGCATGAAAATGAACGCATTAGAATTCTGATCATATCAGTCAAAATTCTAGTTATTTAAGCTAGAATTATAATAGATACAACCAGAAAATTCTGATTTATTCATTTTTTCGATCAAAATTTCAGTTAATGTAATCAGACTCTTTCCAGTGTGACTTATTATAATTTTTTTTTTTCTTATTTGTGTTTTTCCTATTGGGAAATATGTACTATTCTTGTTAGACGTGATTGAGAATCCTTACAACGGGACTACTTGATTTTCTCAAATGCTACCTTGCTCCGTGTCAGAGTATCGCGTATAGAGTTCTGTGGTTGCGCAAATTTCAACGAATACGACGAAGGACATAACTGCGCGCCGCGCAGTCCCTTTCAAACGCACGAGGACAGACGCGTGTCGCGTGTTACGCGACTTATGTTTTTAATCCTGCTTTCCTACAATTCGTGGATTAGATTCAATCCTTGTCCCAATGGCTACGTTAGCGTTTCATTCTTTCGGATGCTGATCGTCTGTCATTGAAAATAAACCGAATGCTATCTAACGTTTGTGAATTAAAAAAAAAAGATAAACGCAGAAGCTACAAGAAATCGTAGAAAGTGCAGCTAAGTGCATTTGCTAACGGTCCACCTGTCTTGAAAGAATGTATGTATGTACAACGCGGTAGTGGATATAACCGGTTTTAAAATGGGCTGGGCTTTGTTATTTTACCGGCAAAACAAGTCATTGTGAGAGGGAGACGAAACATTAAGATGAAAAGATCGAACATCTCTCATCCCCTAAAGTGGTCTCTTCTCAAATTCTCTGGTGCAAGCTTGTTTCGGTAATAGAGCGGCGACTTTTGTACGGCAGCCTTGAAAGAACGAACACAGCTCCGGTAAAACCTCCGCTTGCTAATCCCTAGTTGAGGTTAAGAGTATGGAGAATATAGAGATAAGACCGACCTTAGCGCCGGTCAAAGGATGGAACTGACTAAGCGGACTAAG